TAACTGTATCATGCTGGAACTGCTTCTGCTGATCATGAAGAATTGAATAATACCATTTGTCATGTAGAGTGTTGACTCAAACACAGATGAGTTCAATTCAGATGACAGAGATTGTTACAAAACCCAGCTGTTGACTCTGCTCCTCTTTCCACAAGTTGCTTTCTCTGTGGCAGGAATGGCTGACCCATGAAGCAATTCTTTAACAGCCACAGTTTGTAGCCTGATTTATTCAAGGAAACCAATGGTGACTTTAAGTTGTTTTAATGTTCTGGGTTGGCAACTCTAACAGCTCAGGAGCTGCTTCCTGTGTAAATCATCAGTGCTAGTATAGTAGTGGCAGTCTTTGGAGAAGAGGATGTTTAAGTTGCCTGTATTGGTGAGCAAATATTCTGTGCTTCTCATTCACAGCTAACTTGAGAAAGAATCTTTGCAGTGGCCTGCCTGCAGTTGCAGAGTAGTTGCAGACAACTGCTGGCAAGATACCTTTTCTATGGCTCCAAATGATTCATCTCAAACTAAGGCAATTTTCAAGAGCTTTGGTTGTTAATCACATCTGGAGAAAAGACAAGAAGAAACTTTAAAACAGATACTCTTCTTTGGAGTTTCCATTTCACTGGGATTGGAAGAAGACCAATTCTTAATCATTTACCATTTTTGAAAAAGGTACATGGTGAACACAGGAATAGGAGCCAAGAAATTTATTGGCCAGGGCTCATTCTGTTGAACAAATCGCTCTGGTGTTAAATGGGGAGCAATTCTAACAAGGCTACCAGGTAGGCTGCTTCGGAGGGAAGAAAGAAAATGGGCTTGGTTTTGGGTGGTGATGTTGTTGGGAAGGCTGCCAATTTTCCTTGGTTTACCTTCTTTCCTTTTTAGGATAATACCTTGCTGAGCTCACAAGATAACTCTGAGGATTATGGACTTGGTTTAATTCTCACTACAGTCAGGAGAGCTAGCGTTGATAGCAGTAGGTGAAAGAGACAGCCTTATTCTAATAGGTTAGTGTCTAGAATAATCTCAAATTGAGGCTTTTTGTTTATTTGCATTTAGATAATTACTGTGTAAACTTTAGATTTTTGCCTTTGAAATGGAATTGTTTTCCCAAGAAGTGGTCCAAATAGCAGAACTTAATTCTATTTTTGTTTTTGATTATACCTTTATAGCCTTTTTTTGGAGTTATTTTATAGAGAGGTAAAAATAGAATACAGATATCTTCTATCTAAAACTTGTGGACGAGATGCTTCTCTTGCCTTTTTTTTCTCCTGTAGCAGGATTGAACTCCTTGCACTACAGTGACTGTAAAGTCATCACGCTGCATTTAAGACAAAATGCAGAAAGGAATGACCTTTTGCTAGGACTCTGTATTGCTAAGCCTTATCACCGTCTTTCAGCAAAAGCCAGTTTAATCCTTAAACATTTGTACATGTAGTATCTGTTCAGAATTGTCTATTGTTAGCTATCTGTGTTCTCATTGATTATAATGCTGTGCATCTCCACAATGCCTGCTATTTGCCCCTTGGATCTTCATTGTACAGGGTAGCTGTTATCTTCCTTGCTGATAGTTTATCATCAATGGTACCAGTTAAGAGCTGAAAACACTTCCAGCATAATGGAAAGTTCCACTTTCGCCAGAATGACTCATAATTAATTAACCCCTGGGGTATTCTGCCTGGGATGGAGAGGCTTCCTGTGCCCAACACAAGAAAAAGTTACGGGAAGATATTACTTTATAGCAAAAGAGAAATTGATTGGGAGAATTTTATCTGCCTTGTAAGAATTATGTTTTCTAATACTATCAATCTGCCTGAGTCTTGCTTGGAAACTAACTGAAAAATAGATACTTTGGAAAGGGTTGCTTCTCTGACTTAACATCTTCCTTTGCTACAGGAGCAAAAAGACAACTGCTGTTAACACCTTGAGAAGAATGGACTTGTAATACGAGCATGTGGAGGCAAGCAGCACAGGAAGCAGTAAATATCTTTTCCTCCCAGCAGGCCACAAGCTTTTGGCTTTGAATAGGTCACTGTTAAAATGTAGCTACCAAGTGGCCACTTGAGAGGAAAGAAAGAAACTGGGCTTGGGTTTGGGTGGTGGCAGGGATTAGGAGGGCTGTTGGGACCATGAAGAGGCAAGGGGTGACTGCCCTGCAGAATGCTCTTCATGTGGCTGTTGGACATTACTGAAAGCAAGTGAGTGGCTGGAGTATGGTTTCACTGTCCCAGCTTGGTGTGGGTGGAGTGTCTGTAACTCATGACTTCAGCAGACTTTTCCTGCAGACTTCAAGAAATCTTGTGATGCCTTCATAGCACTGGGGGCCAATTTATTTTTTATCAAGGACTCTTTGCCAGATCTGTAAGATTAAACTTGGTGTGTCTGTAGCAGACTTGAACCAAGCAGAGTGGTTCTGTACATGAAGATAGATGTGATGGGTGTAAATTTCTCCAGTGAAGAGCTGTAACAAGGCATGGGAGCTAGGAGAAAGCTCCAGAATTTGAGATTTAACTCCCTGTAGTTTCTGAGATAGAAAGAGCTTTTGCTCAGAAATCCTTCTCCCTTCAGGAGAGGGAAGGAATAAAAGATTTAGGGAGATGCTTCGTTTAAGCTAGAAGTGTTGTTTGGACTTGTGATTAGTGATCTGTTAACATTTGGGCATTTCAGACTTGACAACTGTTTACTGAAATACCAAAATGCAGATATTTTAATCTCCAGTGGTGCTGCTTCATTGATTTCCCCTCAGATGTACACACGTGCAGGGGTGACTTCTGCATCTTACTCCAATGAATGGCTGTTCACGCAAAATACGAAAGTTAGGCTTGTTACCCAGTTCTCTCTTTTTGGCTTGTTAGCTCAGTCTGCTATCTGTCTAGGAGAAAAAATGGGTGTTGAGCTATGACAGACTTTGTAACCATGCAGAGTAAGTTGGGGGGCATGGTGCAGAAAGGAATATTACTTTGAATAAAAGATTATCTTGGAGAACAAGACTGTGATTGTATCCATGTTTCTTGTCAGTGGAGAAGTACCACTGAAAGTGAATATTTGGGAGACTGTAGCACCATTAAGGACAAAATTATATCTTAAAGGTTCCTGTTTGCATGTGGGAGACAGGATGACACTGACCAGTAGTGCTTCTCTTTATTCCAACTCATTATGTGTTAACCTTGATTGACTATAGCGTGTATGTTTGAGTGATGTGTGAACTCTTTTCATTCGCCATGACCTTTTGTTGGGCTAGATTTATTTTGTCTTTTTTTTTTGTCTTCCCCCCCAGCCCCTACTTTTTTTTATGGAAGCTATAAAAGCACAGTAGCATAGGGACAATGCAGGCAACTTTGTATGAGAGACTGCAAGCAAAAAGAGAGGGATGGGGAAGACTAATTTTATTATGAAAATGAGCATGCTAAGTAAAATACAGGTTCAAACCCTGTCTTTGCTTGGGAAGGTTTATGGTCTAAATTTGACATAGACTATAGCAAGCAACAGGAGAACTGCCATATGGAGGAATAGCAGCTTTTTATTATTAAGATCATACAGTTAACGACTTAGTTTGTAAATTTCTACTGAGCAGTGTCTGCAATTCAGCAGCAGAAAAAGTGTGCTTCATAGGGAGGCTTGAGTGAGAAAAGGATGGTGAAATGTTTTTGAGTAGATATTGCATGTGCAAATGGGATAGGTTGGGAAAAGTTGCATGTAGCAGGAAGAGAGACATAAATCCAGGTGTAAACAAAACTATTTAGTTGGTTACTCAAAGGTGAAGTGACTGGTGGAACTGACTAAATCAAATACTTTCAACATCTCAAACAAATGACCAGTCTAAGGAAGGTCAAAGTATCACTAACCTTTTGTTGTTTTTAAAAAAATTAAAAATTTGGAAATGAATATAATTGTCCTCTGCAGTTCTTTTCACAGTATAGAGTAGATGTCAGCAATGCTCTAGCATGTTGTGTCACACACTGTTTTTCTGCCCCAAATTAAAGTTTAAGTGTGAAAACAGACATCATGCAGAATCCAAGCTCTGTTTCTCAAAGAAGGAAGATGCTATCGTGATATTCATGGTGTGTTGCCTCTACATCAGTAGCTAGAAGTGTCTCCTGCAGACTACAGAGATCATTGGCAACCTGTAGCAAGGAGCTGCTCCCTCTCAGGAGACTGTAGCTGCCAGATCTCAGCCCTATTACACACTATTCAAAATCAATCCACTTACCACCTTTGCCCTACAGCTATAAGTGGCTGACACCCATTCGAGGGTGACCTGGAAAGCTTTATGGGAACAATTTCACTGTCCATACAGGAGAAGCTAATAAGTATATTCAGCTTCCAAATCTCTGTAAGGATCTTTCCTGAACTGAGTGCTGTTTTTTTTGACATCAACTCTGTGATAAGCAGAGAATTGGCTCTGGTAATGGCAGAAGATAGCAGGCATTAAACAGGGAAATCTGAAGAGGTAAAAGGGGAAAGTAACAATTACAACGTTATTGGAGACTGTATGTCCATAATAAAGAAGGGCCAGTTGCTTTTGTTTTATATAAAATAAGCCTTCCCCCTGCCATGGCAATAAAGCACAGGATGAACAACAAGGAGAATATCTTATGGAAGGGTAAGAGAATGATGGGGGGGGCGAAATAATCAAGTGTACATAAAGTAATCAAATAGTATCCCACAATCCTGCTCTTTTAAGGAAGTGTTGCATTTGCTTCTCTGTTTATGGGTCCATAGAGGAGAAATCCCTGAAATTCTGTTTCATTTGAAGGAGCTGGGCAAAATGCTGTTGCTGTCAAGTCTTAGTACTTCGAGTAAATAATCGGTATTGATATTTTGAATATTTCATGTGGTGACACAAGGGTAACATTGTATTACGTAAGTTCCTGTGTTTCTTTATCAGCTCTGCTGTGTTATCGTGTGTAAAATCACAAGCTATTTTTTCATTCAGTTGAAACATAAGTGAACAGCACTTTACCCGTGTAGAAAATAATTACAAGTTCTTCTGCATTCACAGGGTTTGAATGGAGTCTGAGTTCAAGAATTATGAAGAAGAAACACCTTTTCTGCACTGGGGGATGGATCCTGTATTTTCTGCATTTGCAAGACTCTATATTAAAGATATAAAAGAAATGAGAGAATCTAAACAAGTGCCAGGTATGTACTTATATGTGCTGATTATGATGCACACAGAACTATAATTGATTTGTGTTGTGCTCTTTATCCAAGGATTGCAGAATGCTCCATGAACACCAGTAATTTTGTGTGCCCCTAAGCTAAGTGACGTATGTTTAACAGTTCTAAGAACAACAGGTTTTATGTGAAATATATGTGAAAAAATGCGTTCATTCTAATGGCTTTTCTTCCTCTCATATATATAGATACAGAACCTCTTTTACATTAAGATAATGTTGTGTTTCCTCTATGCTTGTTACATTCTGATAAAGTTAATTCTAAAAACGCTGGTCCTTTCTGGCCGTATGTGTTATACCTTTCCACTGTCTCTACAACATTTGAGAAGGATTTTATGCCTCTTCTCTTTGTTGCAAAATTTTGACAGTTCATGACATTGCTGGGTGTATGTGTTTTGCTTTTTCTTCTGGATAGTAATATATTATAAAACAGATACAGGTTTTGAAGTTTTGTCTGCTTAATTTCTAGATATGATAGATATATGACATTCTTCATACATTTGAACAGCCTTATGGTAAATTCTGGCATCTGTGCTGAATCTTATACCACACCTTTTATTTCCTAACCCTTGTTGGAAACCGTATGCTTTGCAGTCTGTTTCCTGCTGGTCTTCAGCCAATATCACCCACATGTGTACATTGTCTAAAGCAACATGGGTCTGACCTTGAATTTCTGTTTTCTCTACAAAGACTTTAAATAAACTGCAGTATGTTTTCTGCTGTAGAAGCATTCATTACTCCAAACTGAAGCTTGACAAGGTGCAAGATTATCAGGGAGGAACCCAAGGAACTTAGAATTAATGAGGAAAAATAGTAAACCCTAAGCAGTGTATGTGGTTTTGGTTTGGTTTTGGTGTTTTGTTTGGGCTTTTTTTTCTTTTTTTTTTTTTTTCCTCCACAGAGACAAGATACTTTTGGCTCTTTGAATATGCTCTGCCTTGTAGGTCTTGTTATTCTTATTTATTTTTCTTTAACAGCAAGGGTTATTTTACCTCTTTAACAGCAGTACTATTCTTGCAGAAATGAAGGACTGGTGGTTTTTTTGCTCTTCTCGCAACCATTTTTATGTACATAGGGACTTCACAAACTTCAAAGCCCACTATATATACCTCTTTGTTATTTAACATAGTGGGAGACTTGTCTCAAATTCGTTGCAAGAATTAGGCTACAGTCTGTTGTAGATGTTTGTACTAGAGTGAGTAGTACTTAGAGGCCTTTTTAAAGTGTGCAGTGTAGCAAATGCATCTGGTAAAAACTGTTCCTGCTTCAATTAGAGACATCTTAATTGTTTTCAAACAAAATACAAAACAACTGAATGTCAGCAGAATAGGATTGTAGTTTGGACGTGGACATTAGTACATGCACACGTATTAATAATAATTAAAATATATTCAGAAGAGTTAAACTTACAAACATCAACAAACATTTCACAAGAGCAGGAACAGTCCTAGAAAGTACAATCCTGCTCTCTTTTTTTTTCCACCTCTAAAATACCTGAATTTCCCTTCTCACTTCCCTTCCTGTTCTTTTACTTAAGTGGGTTGTCTTCTGCTTCAGGAACTCTTTCAGTTTTGTTATTACTCTTTTTTCTAAGATGATCCTAAGGAAGTGGTATCTGTCATGTCAAGATATCAGCCTTTAAAATTGGTTGCATGCGATCTTTCTCCGCTTCCTGTGCATCTAGCATTTTGCACAGCTAAGCTGCTTGCAATCCTGTATTACTTTCTAAACCAAACTTTAAAGAATAAAATGAAGTTTCATAGAACAAACATCCTGAATTTTGTTCATTCTTCTGGTGCTGTGCATATACCAAACCAGACATTTTTCAGTGTATCTTACTTATTGGCAACAAATGATAGCACAACAGAAACACTAAAAAAAAATCTTTTGGGGAAGGAAGAAGGTAGGTGTTTGCTGTCAATGTTTCCTGCCTTTAATGGGTTTGTTAAAGACCAGCTGAAGCTAAGTATATGATTGGCTATAAATCAGTCATTAAGTAATGGTAATTAAGAATGAATGAGTGCAAAACAAAGAGTTGTAACTAGGAGGAATGGAAAGAAACACGGATGTCAGGAAAAACATCCTTAGAATGACATCTGCTAAACTGTGGAGCAGCCTTCCCAGGAAAAAGGTGGGATGCCCTTCACTGGGATTGTTTATATCCTGACTGTACAGATTGCCAGGAATTTACTGTACGGAATGGTCTTGCATTGGCCCTGAGGAAATGGATTGAATGACCTAATAAGTTTTTTCTTTCCATTTTTAAGCATTAGGATTTGATGCCACAATGACTAATCCCTTAAAACAACATAGAGGAAAGCAGTAAACCTGGCCAATTACTCTTCTGCTATAAATGGTGTCAGGAAGGCTGGAAAACCTCCCAGATAAAAACAGCAATTGTGTTGTCTTAGAGGCCTTGAAATGAGCGTGGGTGTCAAACTCGGTTGTAACACATAATCACATAATGGAAATCAGCTTTTCTCGGAGTTATCATGCACCACTGCATTGTGACAGCTTATCAACAAGCGAGGGAAGCTACAAATAGCATAAGAGGAGGTAATAATAATTAAAACAATGGCAAACAGCTCAGGGCTCAGTAATGCTAGTAAAGACATGACCAGAACTTGCCCTAGAGAGTTCTGTATCTATAGCCCCCTATACTGCTGCTGTGGCTTCCTGTTGTGGTAACAGTGTATTAACATGTGTTATTTACTGGGCTACTAGGAGCTTGACTGAATGTGTTTGCGCGTAGCTTCAAATGTTTAGTATATTTTTATTGCTACCAATATGAACATAATTTGAACAAGTAAGCTGGCAGGAGAAACAATTTACACCTTGAAGTAGTCAAGTTCAACAACTTTTGACAGTATAAATATAATTTCATTTTTCAAATGAATTCAGGTAGTTTCTCAAAGAGTAAGGGTGGAATTCTATATGAGTTTATGGAGATGGAGAGAAGCATTTTTTTCCGGTCTCTGTCACTTGCCAAAACTCAGCTTACTAACTGACAAATGAACATAATAACATGTTCCTTGTTTGTACAGTCAAGAGCTTGGGGTCTCTGCTCCACAGACTTACCCTGAAACTGACCCAGACCTTCTTTTATAGAAATTTTGTAAGGTTTAGTGAATAATTATATACACTGGGACTGTCTCTATTGAGGGTTTCTATAGCAGTGTTTATTGGTGTCCTAGTAAATGGAATGAGAGAAAAGTGGGCAGACCTGTTAAATATTCTCTACGCCAGACCTGACCAGTGACTGCACGATTAGAACAGCCAGCTCTGAGATGACAGCAATAGATGCATCCTCAAAACATTGCAGTGGATTTTTATGAGCAAAACTTCTGTTTATGAGCTGCTTGGCTGATCACCTGTGATTTGTTCTGAAACTTTGGGGTTTTGTCTTTCTTACATGAAGAAAGTTAATTCCAGGCTCATTTAAGGCTGCCAGCTATGTAGGACAAGTTATTTTTGGATTTTGGTTTTGGTTTTATACAGAACATTTTTCTGACTCCCTTGCTGCAGTGTT